GCTGACTGACATCCTGGTTCTTTGCTTCATCAAAGCTCGTCCGCTTCCCTTCGCACGGCACCTTGTCTAGGAATCCTTTCTAGATGTGCCAGTGAGGGTACGCGAAGCACCACGTTTTTTTTTCACGCTGCAAAACTAAGACTGGACTTCTCCCACGCTGCGAAGGCAAGCTGCGATAGAAAATTAGCGACGCCTATCATCGCTGCAACCACTGCCGAACCCAACAGCGCGATCGCGCGCGTCTGCAGTTCCTTCACACGCTGGATGCGGATGCACTCTCGGTCGAGCACCTTGCGATAGCTGTAAGCGTGATTCCGGATGTGCGCCCCTGGGCCCTGGCTCAGGATGGTCAGCAAGTCGGCCGGCGCGTCCCCGATGGACTCGAGCATGGCCTCAGCTGCGCCAAGGCCAAAAATCCGCCACCGTGCCCTCGGCACGAAGTGGAGTGCCCCAAGGCTCATGCAGCCCCAAGAGGTCGAGGATTGTTGTTTCTCAGGGGCCCAGACCCCCAAATTCCTGGGCGCTCCTGGGCGCTCCCGTGGTGTTTCGCGTGAGCCTCTGGGACGGTCCTCTCGCCCAAACGGGCCAAGGCCGCCTCGGGAGGCCGCCCAAACGATCCAAGAGGGCCCAGAATCGACGAAAGATCGCTCTAAAACGCCGGAAACTACCTCCAGGCGCCCCAAGAAGCCTCCAAGAGCACTCCCAGGAAGGCCCCAAGAAGTAACATTCATTGATTTTTTTTCATAGGAAAACCTGTATGTTTGGCATTTTCGACTTTCCGGCCTTTACGGCATCGAAGACGGTCCAAGAGGCCCCCAAGACCGCCCCAAGACGGCCCAAGACGCTCCCAAGAGGTCCCAAAACAGCCCAAGAAGGCGCCAAGACGGCCCAAGAGGCGCCCAAGACAGCCCAAGAGGGCCCCAAGACGGCACCAAGAGACACCCAAGAGGGTTCCAGGAAGCCCCCAAGAGAGCCCCCAGAGGGAGACCACGAGCCGAAGACTCGAGCCTTCCGCTCTGACAGGCCCCGGGGAGGTTTAAGAGGCCCCCAAGAAGCCCCAAGAGGCCCCCAAGAGGGCGCCAAGAGGCCCCGAGAGGCCAAAGATCAGCCCCCAGAGGCCCCACGACGGCCCCCACGAGGCTTCAGAACTGCCTCCTTGAAGACCCCGAGAGGCCAACCACGCGATCACAACCAACATCCATGAGGCCTCTGGCCCACCAGCCAGACACGGTGGCGGGATGGCCCGAAGGCCAGTAGACCTGCTTGGCATGCTGGCTTAGTGTCCTGTCGCCCTGCTGGTGTGGAGACTTCGGTGCGACAAGTTCAAATTCTAGCAAAGATCATAACAAAAATCAATGAATGTTACATTTCTGCGCCTTCCTGGAAATCCTTTCAGGACTCGTTTGGGCCGTTTTGGGGCCCTCTTGGGTCCTCCCAGGACCCTCTTGGGCCGTCTTGGCGGGCTTGGGCCGTCTTGGGGCTCTCTGGGAGCCCTGTTGGGGACCTCATGTGGCCTCCTGTAGCCCTTTTGGGGCCCTCTTGGGAGCCGTTCGGGGCCCTCTGGGACACGTCTTGGGCCGTCTTGGGGCTCTCTTGGGCCGTCTTGGAACCCTTTCGGGCTGTCTTGGAGCGCTCTTTCGGGCCTCTTCGGCCGTCCTGGGGCCATTTGGGAGCCTCTTGGCTCCAATATGGCCCCAGGACGGCCCAAGAAGCCCCCAAGACAGTCCCAAGAAGGCCCAAGAAGCATCCAAGACGCCCAGGATTGCATCCAAGACGGCCAAGATGGCCCCAGGAGAGCCCAAGAATGCCGCAAGGGGCTCCCAGGAGGCCTCCTCCTCCCTTTTCCTGTTTCCTCCCTTTCCTCCGCTTCCTCTTACCCCCCCACCCCCACGTGTTCCCCGATGGTTTTCGAAACCGACTCGGGGAACACATGGTCCGATAGCTCGGCCAAGCTCTAGCCCAACGATTGGCCACATAGGCGCCTCCAAAATGGAAGGGGGCGGCGGCGGGTTACCGCAGGCGTCTTCGATAACGCCAGGATCTGCCAGTATACTCTCGATGACTGCCTGCCCACGCCCCACGTTGATCCGCGCGCGCAGCTTCAACGTCGCCTGCCAGCTCTCGCATACATCTTTCCAACTCGACTCGGTCATTTTCTCCTCCTCCAGCTTCTGCAGTCGCTCCAGCAAGTACGAGATCTCTGCCTCGTCCTGCAAGAGCTCCCTGCGGCTGCGACGCCACGCCAGGCGGAGCATGTCGAGGCTCCCTGTGCAGGCGCCGTCCGAAATGCTGTACGTGGTCGTTTGGTGCAATGCGTTATGAAAGAACTGGCGGCGGAATGATCCTACGGGGGCGAAGCGCGCAAGGAGAGCCGGCGGTTCCCCAGCCTCATGTAGTCCAGCCGGCCCTCTAAGGCGCGAGTGGTTTAGAGAGTTTTCCCCTTCGGGGAGGAGTTTACCACTGCTACTTCTTAATTTATACCCCCTCCCCCACCCGACCGGCGACAGACCCGGGTCATGACGACAGCCCCTGCCAACCCCCCCCTGCCATCCCTGACAAAAAACAATGCGAAATGCACATTGTGGCAAAATCTGGACAGTGCGCGGGCGCCCCGTGATCACTTTACGCTGGTTTTTGACACAGGAGGCGGGAAGCGCTAATCTCATCAGCTCTGCACACGCCGCCATCCCTGTCAAAACACAATGACCCCTGCTTTCCCGGGCGTCCACGGGCGCTCTCGGGCAATGCTGGGGCGCGTCGCGTGGTTCCTCCAAAGTTCTGAACCCCAAAGGGGGGTTCATAGAGTAAATAGCGGGGTCCATAGGACGAGATGTAAAAAAAAATCTATAGGAAAGGTTTGTAAGAGGTGGCATAGTCCAGAGATATGATGAGGATCTGTTTTCTACTCCGATAGTACGTGACGCCGTAACCTCACGTAAAACAATAGAGCGCCGGTGATATGAGCCCAAATGGCCATGGCACGGCGCGTCGCTCGCTACGCTCGCTCCTCTGTATATCCCTCTGACCCCAGTTCAGAGTCGAGGGGGGGAGACGAGCTGTGACGAGAAAAAACGGTATTAGCGGTATAGCTGGCGCGCGCCGCAGGCCGAGGTTCAGTTCCTCGAAAAACGCCTGCGGTGTCAGCACGGCGCCGACAGACCCAAGGGTCGTGGGCCCGCAAAACCGGAAGATACTAGGCGCGAAAAACTGTTGGAGTCACCGCGCTTCCGCGGAAAAGAACTCAGTGGACAGCTCATGTGTTTCCACGCGAGCTAATGTCCGCCACTCCCTTATGGCCCTCGTGTTTGTGGGCCCTGAAGGGAGTGTACTTCTTGAGTTCGTAGCAGAACTTATGCTTACCCCCCATGAATTGCATGATGCTGTCACGATCCATACTGCCCTTGGCATTGCCGTCGGCGGTCAAATCCCGAGTGTCACGCCATTGGATGCTGTCGACGATCCCAGCCTGCATAAACTGTCGCATCCATGCGATATATATATATATATATATATATATAGACATATATATACATATATACATATATATATATATATATATATATATCCCAAGGCGTACACTCCGTTGGCTGTTTGAGATCCTTGCTGGATAACGACTCGAACACAGACTCCGCGTCGATGGTGAGTCGACCTTTATGGACAGACCGCCGAACTCTAATATATTATTGAGCTGGACTGGCGTTAAAGATCCTGCCTTCATTTCATGAAGGGTGACAACCATGGGGTAGCAGTCTTCCAGATTGCGCTGCGGCCAGCGCTTCCGCTGAATAGCCCAGGTGAACCACTGGCGTGCCCGCGCGAGCGACTCCGCGCCTCACCGCATTGCAACCACGCATGCCGCACCCCTTCTCGTCATCTTCTGTGTCGCCAGCGAATCTGCGATAACCAGGATCGCTGCGAATGCCCACCTCACCTGTGGGCTCCATGGCAAGGCTTACGATCTTAAGCGGACCTGCTTGCAGTTTCCGCGCGATCGCGTTGAAACGCCTCTCCTGAAGAGTGGTGGGCTCTTGTACTCTCTGGAGAGACACGACGTAAACCAAAAGCCAGACCTGAGTTATAAGTGCATTTGCAAAGGCACCCCGAAGACTAATGAACAGATCTGCCACTGTCTTGGTAGCCTTCTCTTCGGCAGCTGCACCCGTCAGTTCTGGGCGTTGCATACGTCGAAGCTGTTTGATGTAGTCGTCCTGGTCCAGGATAACATCCTCATTGGGCAGCTTCGAGCACCTGACGGCGCAGTTGGTGCATGTGTGTTTGTGAACCTCGCACTTCCCAAACACCTTTTCAACGCTGGCGACGCACCCGTCAACGGCGGTTTCAGCGCCGGCCATGTTGATATCATCAACGTGCTTGGCCGTGCTGAGGTTCTTGCTGACACCCAGCTCCTCATCATAGGATGTCGCTCGCAGTCCTAGGCTACGCGTGGTGTTGCGCAGCGTCAGAGAGAATGCCCTAGGGGCATCCTTTTTTCCCAGTCCCTGGCTTGAGGCACTGAAGACAGCGCCGACCAGCAAATCCTGGCGGAAGGGTAAAGCACACGATGCGATCCTTTACTCCTGCGGCCTCGGCCAACTCCCGGTAAGTCAGGCCCCTGAGAAATTTCTTATCTACATCACATCCATGGACAGGAAGTGATGTTAGCAGTGACCACTGACTCGGTATTTCGGTCGGAGTTTTCTTTGGCGGGTGCAGATGTGACACATCTGTCGATGACGTGGAAGACTGAGTGTGCCTTGTAAGAGAACAGGTCACACTCTGCCTCCTCGTTAAACTTGCTTGGCAAGCTGAACGAGGGCATCACGGTTGCTCGGCTTCTGCCAAGCGCGGCACTCTCTGAAGGAGTCACAGACACCTTTGATCAGGTGCAGCCTGACATTGTCGAGGCCGACCTTGGTGAGCATCATCCGCATCTTCGGCTCCGAGGCGCGGTACCATCCTAGGTGTAGTTCTCGTAATTCTCGCAAGACGGTACCCGGATCGCTGAGGCGAAGGTTCTGCGGGCCAACCTGCACATCGAAGCGTATCCAGTCTGGAAGTTTCGGTAATCTTCCAGCGTCTCCGCCGCTGCCTGGTGGTGGATCAGGCGGCGGGTCTCCCCGCTCAATACGTCTTCGCCTACCTTCGACTCGCGGTGGTCTGTCACCTGTCCGGTCGGGGCCAATGGCACTTGCATGGCGTCCCCGCGTGACGTCATAGCTACCCGCTCCTCGTGTCGGGCCCGTTGGATCCCTGGGGGTCGGTGCACGTGGCCGCGCGGGCGCAGCCTTGGCTGCTGCTGATGAAGCAGGTGCGCTCGAATGCGTCTCCGCAAGCGGTGCAGCAGCGGCCGCAGCAGGAGCTGCGGCTGGAGCCGCGCTTGAGGAGGAAGAACCTCCTTGTCTTACTGGCGGCTCGCTGCTGCAGTCGCCGGGTAGGCGGCATGGTTTTGCGAATCTGCACTTCCCCGATTCTAGGAGGGGCCCGTTCTTGTCCTGGCCATATTATTACTGACAGGAAGGGCACTCCCAGAATATTGGCATCGTCTTCAAAATCGGCATTGTCTTGGGTCGCGGTTGTGCTCAGGAGAAACAACCCGCAACTTTGTGATACAGGCAGGGCAACCGCGCCCTCCCTTTGGACTTTGGAAGCTGTTTGTTGCGTCCTTCCTCGTCTCGTGGTAATGTCGGGTCGTCTAGGTCGTTGCCAGCGCAGTTGATTGCGAAAAGTTCACTGCGTCACCGCTGTCTGCTATGGTCCTTTCGGTGACTCGACGAATTGCTTCCCGAACCTTACGGCATCCACGAATAACGATTGTAGAGCTGGGGTGTATTGCGCGGATGTCGCTCGTTCTTCGTTGCATACCTGCGCGCGTTCATGCCGGCCGTTGCATTCTTCCCGATGAACGGTTTGAGTAACGCACAGCGGTCGCTTGCAATTTCCGTCAGTTTCCGAATGAACGGGCCGCGGAAATCCCGTAAACCAGTGGAACATTGGTCGAATGTCATCTTGTCTCGGCGTTTCCGCTCCACTGGTTTTCGCCAGGGGTCGATTTTGTCGATCCAGGTGCCAGATAGTTGTTCCCGAGTAAATAGCCAATCCAAATCGCCCGGTAGGATTGCAACTGCGCCGCAGAAGGTGATGCGTAGTACTATTTGTTGGCAGTGTTTCCGCCACGCGTCATAATTGGCCTTCGCGTTGAAGTATGATGGGAGGCCTGTCGCGCGGCAGTTCGGTTGTAGAATAACCACTGCTACACGAGACGTCTTGAGGCAATGCGACGCGATAGCTCGTTTCCGAGCCGTTTGTGGGCAGCATAATCATACGAGGGTCGAATCGCATGCCCAGTCGTGACCGAAGTAGGCCCCTGCTCCAAGGCCCTTGAGGCTTTCGCCACACTCGTAACCACCGGGTTCGACTACCTTCGGCTTCTTTTTGGGTTTGATTCCGGCTCCCTTGTCAGCCTTATGCTGTTCTATGTGTTTGATGCGGGCGTCAGTCGGGCATGATTCCAAAGTGGGAAATGCAGGAATCGGTAGTAGGTCATGCCCAAAAGGCGGGGAGGGAGGAGAACACTCATCTAGGATGAATGTCACCGTCTATTTTGGGTGTTTATGTGACTGCGTCTCCGCAATGAGGACTGGGGCTGGTTCTTTCCAGTATAGTTTTGTGATGCTGTTACGGACTCCCTTCGGCAGTTCAGCACACCAGTACTTCCCAGTCGCTTGGTCAATCACATTAATGTCTTGAACAACCGTTTTGGTATCCAAGACGCACGTCACACGTCGCATCACATGGTCCCATTGAGAGCCACCGTTTGATGTGTTCACGTAGTGATTGGCGTTGTGGTCCGCACGAGCGCATACGCTGAGCACCGTTTCCGCATGATCTTGGGCTATGTGGTTATCACGCGCTATATTCAGCAAAGCATTGACCATAAACTCAGAAATCTTAGCTCTCCACTGCGCATGGGCCTCGTTGTGGCCATGCCAGTCCAACGCGTGTTCCGTTGTACTGGTGCACTTACATTACCGCAAAGTGGCGGGTATGCGAATGCAAGATGTAGCCACTTGCAAGCATGAACCACTTGGCGCCTTCGCGCGCCCCCATTTATATCCAAAGTGGCATAGGCGCATGCGTATCGTAGATAGTTCGAGGTCCTCGATGGTGTCCCGTATTGGTCGTAACTTCCACATATATCCCGGTGGACCCATCATCTTAACATGTACCATCAAACTTCTAGCTTTACTTATGAGATTGCGCATCCGCCCCCAGCGAGGCTCCGTTCGTTTTCCAAGAGCTTTGAAAAAACAGTCCGCTGGGGTTGATATCCAGAGGAGGCGGTGGCCCCCCCGGATCAGGTTACCTAGATAGGTAGAGCAGCGCGACGTCATAACCTCGTTGTGCGCCACGCGGTCGCATACGAGGCCCAGGAGTCGGAGTCTGGCGGTGGCCACGCGGAAATCCTCTATAGCAGGCGCGCGAAAGTGAGGGCGTGTGTTC